GGAGGTGGAAAGGAGCTTGGGAGAGAGAATGATGGAGGTGGAAAGGAGCTTGGGGCAGAGAATGATGGAGGTGGAAGGGACCTTTAAAAGTTACCTCCTTGGCCAAGAGGGTGGAAGGGTTCTGCTAAGGAAACATGCAGTGGGGGGAAATCAGCCCTTTCTCCTCTAGTGGGACCCTGTTTGTAATGCTGTCCCCTTTTCCCCACCCTGTCTGCCCCTGGGCTTTTAGAACGGGGCTGTTCACCCCCGATATGGCTTTTGAAACCATCGTGAAAAAGCAGGTGAAGAAGATCCGAGAGCCCTGTCTGAAATGTGTGGACATGGTCATTTCAGAGTTAATCAATACTGTTAGACAGTGCACCAAGAAGGTAACCAGGCCGCAGCATGGTACCAGCCTCCCTCTTACCCGCCTGTATCTCCCTTCATCCTGCACTGCAGCCAGACGCCCACCTTCACTCCCCCACCACCCTCAACCTTTTCGGTAGCATGTTCAGACTCCTCTGGGGTATGTGTGTGGGGGGCAGCAGGGTTGGTTGGGGAGCAGAGACAGACAACCATGTACTGCCCAGCTAGAACACGAGTGGGCACCAAATAGGGACAGAGACAGGTGCCACTGACAGAAGAAAGGGGCCAGCACTTTCTGGGCACTTCCTGTGCCCAGAAATTCTTTGGGGCCCATGCAACTGAAGGACATAGAGGACTTGAGATCATTAAACCATTTGTCAGGGAATGAGCAGCTTTTCTGGTAGCTACCTTTAGTGGGGTGAGGCTAGCATCTAGGATTCAGAAATACCTATACACCAGAGACTTCGCCTTGGAAAAAAGATCCTTGGGGTGTCAATGAGCACGAGTAGCTGGGTAACTGAACCTCCTCTAAGTACCCAGCAGGTGGAAGCATCTGTGAGAGAGGGAAGGGGACAGCAGGGACACTAGGCTGGAGGTGAGGGTCTGGAGGGGGCCTGAGCTCTGGCTAGAGGTAGGCCAGACTTCAGCTCCAGGAATTTTTCCATAGAGAAACAATGCTAGTGGGTCTGCACAGATAGGAGAGGCTGGAAGTTTTAGAATAAGCTCCCAAAAGGGGGAGCAGAGCTCTGGGGACTGCCAAGTGCCCCAAATCCCCAATTGTCCTTCTTTCTTACCCCTGACCACCGTTCAGACCCCCTGCCTTGTGGTCCTTTGCTTCTCTCTTTCCTTTCCATTCCTGTCCTCTTTCCTTCCCCTCCTCTCTGTTTCTCCTCCTCCATATCTTTCTCTTTTTTCTGAACTGAGGACCCCAAGGCCCAGGGGGAGGTTGGGAATATCCCATGAGGAGAATGGGGAGGAGAAGCACCCTAGCAGGTTCAGACAGGAAAGGAGGTCATGGGAGATAGGAACGTGGGGTTCAGCAGGTTGGTGGTACATACGAAACCTGGGCAGGGCCAGCTGGAGCCCAGGCAGACCCAGTGGGGCAACACTGAGAAGGCTGGTACCTGAGTAGGAGTATAGGATGAAAGGCTAAGAGTTTACAGAAGGTACGGTCCTAGCTCCACGGAAGCCCCTATTTGGTCTTATGGCACCAGGCTTGAGCGATTTGGGTAGCATGGTGCCAGTGGCTGCCCAGGACATGTGGGTGCACTCCTGAAGGGGCCTCGCTCCTTCAGCCCAGTGGCTTCCCCTGCTGCCTACCACAAAGCCCACCAAGCCCCCTGGTACTTGGTAGCACCTGGGGGGTGGGGCGGGAAGGATGAGTCTCATTTCTTACCTTTGCCTTGTGTCTCTCTCTCCCCCCTTTCTGTGTCTGTGTCTCTCTCTCATCCCCTGTGGCTCTCCCTCTCCCCTAACCTCCCGGCCTCCCTGCTCGGTTCTGTCTCTCTTTTTCTTCCTCCTGGGCCTGCTGTCTGGGCTCCTCCCTGGGTGCAGGACGGGGCTCTTCACACCTGATCTTGCTTTTGAAGCCATAGTGAAAAAACAGGTGCAGAAGTTGAAGGAACCCACTCTCAAGTGTGTGGACATGGTAGTCAGTGAGCTCACGGCCACCATCAGAAAGTGTAGCGCAAAGGTAAAGATGGCGGCCCGATGCCAGGCCTCATGTGCTTATGCCGCCCCTGCCCCGGGCAGTCTCCTGCTGCCGCCGCTCCTACATGAGGGACTTCTGTGCCCTCTTGTGCTGACACTACCCTCGTGCCCAAATGTCCCTGTGTGCATTTGTTACCTTGCGCACCCACACAGCCCCTCTCTGCACACTCTTCCCACCTGGCCTGGCTGAAGAACACCCCTACCCACACTGGGGGATGTGCCTACTGGCATCTGCCCTCTCACCTGCTTCCGCCCACTTCCATGCACTTCCCACAGCTCTTAGTGACTCCTGCTCAGCAGGTCCTGGCACAGAAACAGAGAACAGGGGCTGGGGCAGGGGGGGGCTGCCTTCAGGTGAATAATTTCTTTCTGTCTTCCTCATCTTCTTTTTGTCCCTCATCTCTCTGGCCTTTCAGTGCAAGGGGGGGGGGTTGGGGGTGGAAATCGCATTAAGGGGAGCCTTGAACTGGGTAGGACACTTGGTAGTAAGAGGGGCAGAGACTCTCTGGTCCCTGGTTTTTGAGCCCTAAACACTTTATCCTTGGAGATGCTCCTCTCTTCCCACGTCACCCCACCCCTACCCTGCCAACCCCCAAATGGGACCTGGGCCACAAGGGACCAGGAGAGGGAGCCACACACCACTCCAAAGCACTGGCCAGGACAGCTGGCCCAGGTTTCAAAAGGAAATCCAGGACTGCCTACGGATTCCTGAGCCAATGGCAGAGCTGTATTCAGTGTCCTTGCTCCTGATAAATAGGCTTCCGTACCTCCATCCCAGGGGCTGAGGATCTGGGGTGGGGGGGATGTCCTTTGAGTCATCAGAGGCCTAGGTGAATGTGCCCATATTTTAAAAGTCCCAGACTTAGCCTAATTTTGCATCTTCCCCACCCTCCATGCCCTTGGCACAGCCCCAGTTATATGTCCCACCGAGAAAACTCCAGCCTTCCCTAGTCCTGGGGAAGCAGGTGGGAGAAGAGTTGGTTTGCGTAGCCTGCCACTGGCACGCTCTCTTTCTGTCTCTTTCTGTCCTTTCTGTCTTCTTTTCATTCTCTGCCTGTTCCTTCTCTGAACCCCTGCCTGCTTCTCCTCAACCTCTGCCCTCAGCTTGGCCCTTCCTTTCCTTTGGCCTCTGCCTGGGCAGGGCAGCCCTGATCCTCCTAATTCCTCCCATGGAAAGAAGGTTTGGGTGGCAAAGATGAAGGAATCTTGGAGGGGGAGAGGAGGTGTGGGGGGCTAGGGCTATGTGACAGCAGAAGAAGTAGGCATGCTTAACACTGGGGCATAGGTAGAAACCAGTGCTAGATAGACGGAGGATTCATTTGGCAACAAGAGTGAGCCAGCCCTGTTTTCCTCAGCTTTTTTACCTATTATCCAACCCTCACAGTATTGCATTGGCTCAATGATGATCCCAGTTCCAATAAATAGGATTAGCTTTGAGAGCCCCCACACTCTGCAGGGCCTTCTTCCCCTTCGGGGTTGGCACAACATGCTAGTAGCCTTTGGAAAGTGGCCTGCTCACCTAAAGGGACAAAGTAATGGTTTTATTCTCATTTGGGAAGTTGCCTGGGCTTTGGGTGAGTGTGCCCAGAAGAGGAGGGAGAAAGGGACCTACTAGGAATGATGGAGGCTTTCCCCCTCCACTCCTTCCCCACCGCCATCCCACATGGCCCTGTTAGCATTTGAGCTGGGCACCCTTGCCCTTGCTGGGCCCCAGGTATCTCTAAAAACTGGGTTTCTCTCTAGAGTAGCTGCATTCCCCATTTTCTTAGTGGAGAGGAAAGAGGACAAAATGGGAGGGTTCATGGGTCTAGAGAAGAGGAGGTGGGCCTCTGGGAGGAGAGCCTACAAGACATACCTGGGCCCTGCCTATAGGTGCCATCTGGCTACCCTGCAGAAAGTGTGCAGGGACTCAGGGCCTTCAGAATAGGGGCATGGGAAGGAAGGAGAGGCAGGGGCAGGCAGGGGGTGATAGAGTTCATGGAGAGGGCTGACCCTTGAGCCATGTCCCCATGGGGGTACTGCCCATGCTGCTGGCACCCCACTTGCGCATGTCCTATTCCTCCCACCCCCCAGGCTTTGGGTCTTCCTCTATACCTTTGCATGTCCTAGGCCCCCAGCTCTTGCATGTCATCTCGTGCCTGTGATTGACAGTCTCCCCTGTCTTGTGCCCATGGCCCTGGCTTCTCATACCTCCTGGCCTAGGCTGTCATTGATTGGAATCAGGGAGTAGCTCCCAGTCGGATTCTTTTTCCCAATGCTTCCTCAACCTCTGACCCACCCTTGGCTTCAGTTTCTGGTCTGTATGTTCTCTCTTAAGGACCCCAGAGGATGTAGGCAGTACTAAAGCCATTGAGGGCTTTGCAAGCCATCAATTTCCACTCTCCCTCACAGCCTTGCTCAGTCTAAGATGGAAATCCCTAAGATGGCCACTTCCAAGATGGCCACCAAGGAGAATGCTGGTTTCTGAGGTGTTTTTCCCATGGGTTCTGTAAACCACCCCTCCATTCCCCTCTCCTAAAACATCTTGGGGAGATTCTGTGATGAGGAGACAGGAGCTGAACCTGGCACTTTGCTTCACCTTGGGACGTGGCCTTTGAAGGAAACATCTGACTTATTCCAGCTATTCCTTTGGCTCAGAGCCATCTAGCTATATCCCCTCCCCCAAAGTACATTTGGGGCCTAGCCCCACAGGCAAGGTGTTACCTAAAGACAGACATTCTGCCTCAGGCCTGTCTCCCATGCCCACCAGGCCTCCCAGGGGGCACAGGGACGTCCATGTCCATGTTCCCCTTGTGTACGTGGCTTTCTCCCCTGTCCCCAGCTCCAGCAGTACCCCCACTTACGAGAAGAAATGGAACGCATTGTCACCACCCATATCCGTGAGCGGGAGGGGAAGACCAAGGACCAGGTGAGGCTCTTGTGGGTACCTCCTTCTCCAGTGGCTTCTACTTTTCTCCCTTCTTTCCACTCTGTTTTATTCTCTTGTGCATGAAATCCTCCCTTTCTATTCCTGCTCCCTTTTCCATTTCTTCTGTCTTTGTCTCACCCATTTCAGTACCTTCCTACCTCTCTCTTGTCTTTCTTTGTCCATCTCTCCATTTGGTCTTCCATCCCCTCCCTACGTGTCCCCTCCAGTCCATCCCTCCAAAGTCTTCTTCTGTCTCTTTCCATTTCACTCCTTCCCATAAATCTATTCCTCCACCTTTCCATTCATCTCCTTCCCTTTCTTCTCATCTATCCATCTCTACCTCCATCATTCATCCTCTTGACTTCCATGCTTTCTCTCAGGTCATGCTTCTCATTGACATTGAATTGGCCTATATGAACACCAACCATGAAGATTTCATTGGCTTTGCTAAGTGAGTACTCCCCACCCTCTGTAGGAGGCACTTGCCCTTCTACTTTTCCCTGGGCTTCTGACTACCTTTGGTCAAGCATCAGGCATTTTTAAGTGCCTACTATGTGCCAGGTACTGGCTAGGTGCTGTGGATACAAGCACAAAAGGGAGCAATCCCTGCCCTCAAGGAGATTACTTTCTACTGACATACCAGAGAATGATGCTGGGTTGCAGGAGGGGTGGGCAGGGTTGGGGAGCCTCATCAGATATCCAAGATGCACTCACCATCAATCCTTTGAGTCTCGTTTGCATGACACAACATAAGAAAAGAGGTCAATGAGGGCTTCTCAGGGCCGATGATGACATCTAACTCTGAAGAGAAGGCAAGTGTTCTGCTCCTCAGACCTTAAGGGAACTCCTCTTTCTTCCCTGACAGTGCCCAGCAGAGGAGCAGCCAGATGAATAAGAAAAAGACATCGGGGAACCAGGTAAGTGGCACCCATTTCTTGTCCTGCCAGGGGACAGGGTCTAGCTTGGGTGGCTCCTTCCCTAGAGCCTGGCATCCTCAGATGCTCAGAGGGCATCAGAAATTTGGGACTAGAAGTTTCCAGACTGGTGAGTGCCTTGCCCCAGAGTTGAGGCCTGTCGTCTCAGGCTTTGCCACAGGGACTCCCCACTTTTTAATGGACCAATTGTCAAGTGCAAACTGGACAGTCATAGCCCTAGGAAGCTAAACTGTGGGCCAGAGGGTCCAGGGCCTCCTTTGACCCAGGATAGCATGAATAGGGCCCCTTGCCAAGGCCAGTCAACCCCGGGGAGAACTTTAGGGTCTGGGAGCCTGCTGGTGGCAGCCAGCAATGTGCCCTCTGACTGGGCAGCTCTCAAGTAATGGTCTTTCCTCTCTCCCTGATGCTCCATGGTGGTTGCTATGGTTACTTCTTTTCAGGACGAGATTTTGGTGAGTATCAGGACTGTCACTGTTTGGGGTTGGGGGGGGATGTGGGGGACTTGCTTGGGGGAACTCCATTTGTGGGGAGGAGGAGCTAGGAGACAGCATAGTTACTGTGTGGCCCGGGCCTTTGCCCCACTAGGGGTGTCACATGCCTATGTTTCCATCCTGTGCTAGTTGTGCTATAGAAGGATAGAAAGCAGGCAAACAACACCTTTACTGAATGCCTCATGTGTTCCCAGGCCCATGCTAGACACCAAGAGGGTTGATAAAGATGTATACAAAAGGGTCCCTGCCTTTAATAGTCATGATGGGTCATGGCTATATAGTGCATTTTGCATATATTGATGCATTTGGAACTTACACTCTGTTGGGGAGTGGGGGGACAAGACATAAATATATGAAAAGATAGATACCAGGTTAATGCAAGAGGTCCCCCCAGGTACTGTGTCGGCCAGGTGCCCAACTGAGAGGGATGGGCAGGAGGTGCTGCCACATTAGGAGAAGGGAGAGGTCATCAGGCCACCAGGCTTTGTCAAGGTGGTGAAGTTGGAGCTAGGCCTCAAAGGATGGCTTGACTTCAGCTAGGGGAGAACTGATGAGCCAAAGAAGACAGATAGGACAACAGAAGGTGTGTTTAGGAGGGAATCTGGGCTGGCTTCATGTAGAGGAAGCTGGAGAAGATGTGGCTAGAAAGGAAGCTTAGGATCACCGTGTTGTGGAGGGCCTTAAATGGAGAGCCTGAGAATTCTCCCTCATGCCAGCAAAGCACAGCACCTTTTCCAGAGCACTTTCACATACAAACTCACACGGCCCTCAGATGAGAGGGTTCAGGCCCTGGATGGCACACAGGACAAAGACTAGTGTCAAATACATGTGAGGAAACTGAGGCTCAGGCTTGTCCCAGGCCACATGGCCAGTGAGTGGCAGAGCTGGAGACATCGACCCTAGTGTCCTGCCACTCAGTCTAGTACTCCTTCCATGGTGGAACCCTTCCTAACTAACATACATCGACAAGAAGTCTCATTCCTCTGAGGTGTGGTCGTCTGGGACTTGGTTTCTTTTGGAGGTCATTCTTTCCCCTTCCCCTAGGGGTGCCAGTGAGGAAAAATAGGACACAAGAGTCCTAAGAAGAGGCTGCAGGAACCTGAGGCCAACTTTTCATCTATTGAATGTCCTCCTTTCATCATTAGAGGAGAGGGTCCTCCCCTGAGGATCCCTGGGGGCTTTCCTACCAGACCTGGGACTCCTGGGGACTTTCCTATCTATGGGAAAGTACAGACTGTCTTGAATATATTAGTGAGAAGATGAGGTGGGAAGCAGGGGCTTCTCCAGGCACGTGGCAGAGAGGAGGAGCCTTGTTCACTAGAGGGTCTCACTTTCCCACTTCTAGGTGTAAGGCAGTTTAACTCAATGTAATGAGCATCAAGCATTTTCATAAAGACTAGCACTTAGAGTCTAAAGGGGAGGTGACACGTATGCAGATTGGACAAAATAATTCTTATTGCATGTGTAAGAAGAGTTCCAAATAGACTGCTGTCAGCTTTGAGGAAGAAAAGTTTATTACCATTGGGGAGGGGGAGCAGAAAATCAGGGAAGTCTTCATGGATATGGTGCTATTTGAGCAGGACTTGAGAGGATGGCTAGGTTTTCATATTGGATGGAATGGGGGGAGGGAGGTAGGGTGGAATGGGGAGGGAGAAGTAGGGCATTCTAGGAGTGTGTGTGTGTGTGTGTGTGTGTGTGTGCGCGTGCTCGTGCGCGCGCACGCTCTCAGTGACACACCAGTGGGCAGTGGTGACCTTTCTTGAGATAAAAAGACTGCCGTGCCTAAGTGAATATTTATCACAATATATTCTCAGTATTCAACCCTCAGTGCTCAACAGTTGACTGTAGATCGGGATTGGGGTCGGGGGGAAGGGGAATATATGGGAAAGAAATCAGGTTCCTTGGGGTCCCGGGGCTTGGGCTTTCTTCTTTCTCTCCCATCCACTACCTGACCACCTTCCCCTACCCCCACCCAATGAGTTCTCCTGCTAAAAGAAATTCTGAGGTGAGGTGACTTGGGGACAATCTCTGGCCAAGCCCTTGGCCTTTGTCTCCCCCTTCTCCTTTACCCAATCTTTGGGGAGACCCTGCTTCTGTCTTAGGAAAATAGAATCTTAAGAGTCTGAATGTACCTTTGATATCATCTACTCCAACCTCCTACCCAGTGCAGGAATGCCCTCTACAGTATCCCTGAAAGTTGTCATTCAACCTCTGCTTGAGCACTTCTAGTGACAGGGAGCTCATTACCTCGTGAGGCCAGCCGTCTTTACTTCTGGCCAGCTCTGATGGTTAAAAAACTCTTTATTACAAGTTTAAATATGCTGTCTGTGATTTCTACTTTAATAGTCACCAATCTCTATGAAAATCTTGGATAGTCATGACTTAAACAGCACCTCCTCCCACTGGACTAACCAGTCTTCCAGGAGGGGGGATGGGACAACTCAGGGGCATATTTTGAATTTCATGATTCAGCCTTGACTGAATGAATACCACCTACTATAAGCAAAGCATTGTGAGCTTTCCAGAAGTAAAAATGATGAACCTCTCGGGGAACTTATAGCTTAGAAAGCTATATAAAGAAAGATCACCTGAATCACTAATAGTACAGTGTTTGGCAAATGTACTCTGGAGGTTGTGGGTCCCCTCTCCCTGGAGGTTGTTAATGATGGTTCTCTGAGGGATGACATATGGATTAGACTAGATGGTGGTGGAGGCCCCTTCCATGGCTGAGATCTAGTACCAGAGAGGGACAAAGGCCCCCTCCCTTGAGAACTGGTGGAAGGGAGAGAGAAAATCCAATTGTGGGAATCAAGGAAGGTTTCATGACAAATGTGGCCTTGGAGCTGGATTTTGGAGAACTAAGTTCAACCAGAAGACACCTCAAAGGCCATATAGTCCATATGTCATTCTGCAGATGAGCAGATAGTGTCCCAAAGAGATTAATGACTTGTAGTCGTTTATTCACACAAGTGGTAAGCTGCAGGGCATGCATTTGAGCTCTGTTAGTTTCTCCTGACTTGTGTTTACGGCTCTAGCTCCCTTTGCTCTCCCTCTCTGAGAATCTCGACAGGGAGAGAATGAGTTCCCCCTCTCTCCTTCCTTCCCCCATTGATCCAATTCTACTCCCTGGGATACCCACAGGTGATCCGGAAGGGCTGGCTGACCATCAACAACATTGGCATCATGAAGGGAGGCTCCAAGGAGTATTGGTTTGTGTTGACAGCTGAAAACCTGTCCTGGTATAAGGATGATGAGGTGAGTACCCACCAGAGGGGGCCTGGAGACTGTCTACCCAAAGGGGCAGGACACAGGATGTATTCCCTACATGCCCACAGCCTCACTCCACCCTTTAGGAAGGGCCATACTTAGAATCATGGAATCTTAGAGTCAGACTAGAGATTGTCTACTCTAAACCAGGGCTTCTTCAACTTTTTCCACTCTCGACCCCTTCAGCACTTCTTGAACTGTAGGGTCGCAGTATATGGGGTGGAGACCCACAGTTTAAGAAGCGCTGGTCTAAATCACCTGGGATGCCACCCAGCCCCTTGGCAGTGCCCAGTGGGCTTCCCATCTGATGAATCTTGAGTGGATATAAATCTTGGGGGTGCCAATAGAAAGACCCACCCTTACAGGTCTAGGTGGTTAGCCGGGGCCCAGAGTCCAGACCATACACTATTAACTTGGGCTATGGGGGAGAGCAGAGTGGCAAGAAGGAATTGGTTTCTCTCCAGGGCAAACCTCCCTTCTATATATCCCCAAAACCCCTAGGGGAAGGATTGAGGGGCAGGGCCTAGAAAGAGAACATAGAGAACTCCAGCAAACCTTGGAAACATGAAAACACTGACAAAACACTTGGAAACATGTAGTGAGGCCTGAGGCTGTGTGTGCCAGATGGGGGGAGAATGAAAACCATTGGAGATGGGCTAGTCAGGGAAGGCTTCATGGAGGAGGGGGGGAGCGGTTTCAGCTGGGCTTTAAAGCATTCAAGTTAGCAGAGAAGGAACAGGCAGAAGAGGGCGTTCTCTGTTGCAGGAGGCTGAAGGGGCCACTGGAGATAGTTGGTGGAGAGGGATTGCTATGCCACTCTTCGCCCCAAGCCCAGCTGCCTTCCTGTTTTCCCAGCTTCAGGGCGTTCCTCTTTTGTGGCCCCATAGGCCCATGACACATATGAGCCCAGCACCCTTGTTAACCCCTTCCCCCCAGCCCCCTCCCACACCCAGTGGTCAAGCATCTCCACAAGGCTCCACCTCCTCCACTTTGGAAGGTGGGAGTTGTCAGATTTCCCCAATGGCCCCTATACAAGCCCCCCCCCCCCCTCAAGGCACCAGACCTCTCCCCCATATCTCCTACATCCCTGCTTTTGCATTTGGGCTCCTTTAAGAGCCTGGCTGCTTGGCTCTAACATCTGGATTCCAGAGGTGACCGGGAGGAGTCCCGAGAATGGGGGAAGGGGGGGAAAACTCGTGGTAATGAACTTCAGCTGGCAAAGAAGTGGGGAGGAGTTTGGATGAGGGGAAGGAATGGGTCTTTTTCATCATGTGGGGAACTAGGGGGAAGATGGGGTGTTTGGGGAAGAAATCTCTCAACAAGAGATGGAAGAAAAAGAGGAATTTTAGATTTCTGATTCCCTTAAATTCTCTTCATTGGTTTCTGTCTTCTTTGACCCTCTATCCTGAGTCTACTCATTCTAGGATATGCTATTTTCCTATTTCTTCCTCTGGGGTGGGGCAATAGTAACTGCAGTCACCCCAGGGAGGCGTCCCAACTCCCCTCCTTATGGGGTCAGACTAGAGGGGGTGTCTGGGCCATTTTCCCTAGCCAGGGCCTCTCCCTCAGGTTCAGAACCCCCTTTAAAAAATGGATGGAGACAGAAACAATATAGTCAGACTGAGCTGGTGGGGAGAGGGGGGTGGTATGTGCGTATGTCTTTCCTCAGGTCTTGCCATTAGAGAAAACACCCCTGTTAGACCCTTGCTGTTTCAGAGTATGGGTGGGGAAGGGGTGCTGTGGGCTGGAAGGAGTCAGCCTTCATTATACCAACAGCACCTCATGATTCTGGGCCACACAAGCATGTGTATGTGAGTGTGTAGATGAACCTGTGGGACAGTCAAACATCCCAAACCCAACGCCCTGCCCACCTCCCCCCTCGAACCCCCCCCAAGATTATGTTGGACTGGGAAGGGTATGATGAAAGCTTGAGTGTGACTATATGGCACATGATTGGATAACTTTGTGTGTGTATGTGTGTGCGTGCACATGTGTACACACTTGAGAGGAATAGAAAATGGGATTGTGTATTTGGGGAATGCTTCAGTGGGTACGTTTAGGGGGTGAGTACATTTTGGAGAATTCTGTGTGTAATGGGTGTATGTCTGATCAATGAGTGTATTTCTGTGTTGAAGGCTTGTGTGTGTGTGTGCATGTGCACATGCACATGAGTATGTATGTATGTATGGGTGTATGTATTTGGAGTCATAAGTGTTTTAAGTCTAGTGTGTATGTTTTGGGGAGGTGAGTATGCTAACATGCTCATAACTGTATGTTTGAGAGTATGAATGTATGTTTGGGGGAATATAACTGTGTTTTGAGGGGCATGAGTGTGTGGGATGTGAATATGTTTGGCGATCAGAATGTGTTGAGACTGCTGATGGTGTGTGTACTGTGTTGTGTTGGAGTATTTGTGTGTGTTTGGGATGAATGATTGGGAATATTTGGCAGTGTAAGTGTATGCTTGGGGGAGGGTGTGAGTATGTATTTGTGAGTGACTGAGAGACCATTGGGGTCCAGTTGGGGGTTCATTCTTACCCCCACCCCCCACCCCGGGTTCCATGGGCAGCACCTTCTACTCTGTCCTGAGAAAGTTATGGGGGGGGGCAGGAAAGGAGTAAAAGGGAGAGAAACTGTCTCAGAATGAGGTAGTCCTGTAACCATCAGCAATCTACCACAAACCTATCCCTTTCTCAGAGACCTTAAGGACTCTTTTGGAATCTAGAAGCAGGCTCTTCAACTCCCCACCTCCACAGCCACCCCAAGCTCCAGGGCATGACCACTGCGCTCCATCATTTGCCTTCTGGCTCTTTCCCATGCATGTCCCCTTCCCTCCTCTAGTGGCTTCTCCCATGGGCAGCTCAGCTCCATGCAAAGCAGAACTCTTACCCTCCCTGACCACCCCCCCCAATGCCTCCCCCTTCTTCCCCCCACCCCCTCTCTGATCCAGGAGTGAAGGGAGAAGAGAAGAGGTAGGGAGTCTCAGGTATCTGGAGAAGAGGTGGGAGGGTGATTCTGGCTCCGATCCTCTCCCATGCTGTGCCGCACAATGCCACCTCCATGCCCGCGGGCCCGACACCGTGTGTAGCCCAGCCCAGCCTAACCAATGTGCAGACTACTGTACAATATTGGAGTCCTGAACAGATAGTCTAAACACTGGGTAGACGGAGTGGAGTCTGTGTCCTTCTGTCCTGCTGTAGCATCCGGCCAGGGTGGCGGCGGGCAGGCGACCGGAGTCCCCCTGTGTCCCTCCTCTCTAGCTCCCGCTACTACAGCGGCGGACACACTCTGCTACTGCCGCTGCTGCCACTGCTGCTGCCGAGTCTGTCCAGTTCTCCTCTGGAGTGCGGACGCCCCCTGAAACCAGGTCTCTGTGATTTGAGCCCCCTCTCTCCCCGCCCCAGCCGCAGGGGCCTCCCGCCCCGTCGTCCCCCCTCCACTCCCAGCTCCCCTTCTGTCTCATTTGACGTGGCAGGGGCGAGCTTCGAGCCTGGGAAGGAGGGGCCTTCGGGAGGGGAGCCCAGGGGCTGGGGAGAACAGGAAGTAAGAAGGGATAAGGTTGCTGGGGGGGGGGGGGGAAGGGGGCGTTTCTGTGCCCTGGGGGCCCAGCCCCGAAAAAGGGGGGGCCCCCGCCGGGCGGCCCCCCCGCCCCCCCCCCCCCCCCGCAATGATTCCAGATGTTCTCTGGGCCATGTGTCCCACTTCCTCTCCCTCCCTTTCTCCCTCCCTCCACCACCTCCTCCTCCTCCTCCATGTCCTCCTCCTCCTCCTCCTCTTTCTCCTCTCCCCCCTTGAAGCCCCACAACTCTCTCCTCTTTGGGGCTGCCCTGCCCAGGATAAAGAGAGCTTTATGTGAAATTGAGGAGGAACTGGTCACTGGGGCCCAGGAGTGAAGGGGGGGAATTGGAACCGGCCAGACAGGGAGAGCTTCCAGTTACCAGTTACCATATCACTGCAGAAGGATGGAGGCAAAGGGGACAGTGATCTCCCCTTCCTACCCACCCCTCCCTGCTGAGGCAAATGAGACTTCTAAAATGTTTTCAGCACCTTCTGAGTAATTGGCCTAGGTCTTCTAAAAGGACCTCCCTCACCTCCTAAAACTTGTTACATACACCAACCCACCCAACAGAGACATGCCAACACACAGGGACCCATATATGTTTCCTCCACCAAATGCCAATACATGTGAATCCATAAATATACCAGCCTGCCCCCATTGATCTGAGCCATACTTGGTACATTTGCCAAGTGGCAGGATGGGGAGGTGGTCTCTGGCTCTATCACCCAGCCAACCAAGTCTCTGTCCCTAGGACTCCATTCCAGATTTCACCATACACATGCATATATATAGGATTCACAGACACAAGACACATAGTTATACCCTAATCCTCATACCCACCATTACAAATTTGCATGCCCACTTGTTTACATCCCTCCCTCCCCTCTACATACACACATTCTTGCACCCTCATACACAGCACACACACACACACACACACACACACATACACACTGACTTAGAGCCTCTTGATTGCTAACACATGGGCTGGGGGTTGAGCCAGCCCTTTGAAGCTGGGGGCCCCCGGGTAGGCTGCTCTCCCCCCCCTTCCTGTCTCAGCACTCAGGAAATGAAGTCAGAGGGCTGATCTAAACCAGGTCCTATAGCCCAGAGCCAGGGATGGAAAGGGGTGAGCTAGAGGGATGGCCACGGGACTAGAGGAAGGGAGGCGGTAAGGGAGTAGAGCCTCAGGAGGACCCTGACCCCTTAGGTAGCCCTTTCTCATTGGAGATGGGATAGATCTTGGAAAGCCAGCAGCTGGCTTCAGGCCACCCTTAGGGAGAGCTGGGTGAGAGTGGCCTCTCTCTGGGCTGCTTATGTGCTTAGCTGGGCTATGGATGCCAACCCTGGCAGCTCCTCATCTCCCGGCCCTAAGGAGGATGGGCTATAGCAGGGGAGTCGCAGACACAGCTTGGCTTCTGGGGCTTTGGGGCTGTGGCCTCTGCCTTCTCCCTGGGAACAAAGAAGCACTGGACACCATTGGAGCTGTTGTGCTGGTTGACTAGAGGAAACCATGTAACCCCAAGTCTCTTTTTTCTCCCCTGGGTTCCTCGGCTCAGAGAATGGCACTGCTAAGGGGCAGAGGGGCATATACAAAATAGGGTGTGAGGACACAGTCTAGGAAGTGGCCTGGGACCACCCCCCACCTCCCATGCCCCCTTCCTCCTCCCTCTCCCAACTTTACTCTTGTGCCCCAGTGGCTCTCCCGAGCTCAACTCAGGTTGGCATTATCTTGGAGAAACTGAGTAGATGGTGCCCTCTGGTGCCCACTTTGGGATATGCAAAAGCTGCCAAAGTGAAATCTGCTTCGAGTTGTCTGGGTCAGGAAAAGGATCCCTCCCTGGGGAGCATTCAGTATGACCCTGGGCTTAACCCTCTACTATTTTAACCCTCTGCTATCTTCTTCTCCATTTTTAGGAGAAGGAGAAAAAGTATATGCTCCCTGTGGATAACTTGAAACTCCGAGATGTGGAAAAGGGCTTTATGTCCAGCAAGCATATCTTTGCCCTCTTCAACACTGAACAGAGGTATCAAAATGTCATGGCACCTAGAGAGTATCCCTCCAAGTCTTGCCTTCAGGGAGTTTATCACCCCCATAAAACATGTGCATAGATGAATAGAATACAAATCAGAATATGATAAATGCATGGGAGATGCAAAATGCTGTGAAGCACTTTGGAGGAAGCATCATTCTCAGTTTGGTAGGGTGGGAAGGATTGCAGATGGCTTCACAGAGCAGCATGTGCCTTGGGCCTTGAAGGATGCCCAGACACTGTCTTTTCTCTCTTGGATAGGACAGAGGATAAGTGGGAACCTGAAGAGAAAACTGAGGCTGAGAGCCAGAATGCCTGGGTCTCTTCTACTCATTACCTACCTGGGGTGGGGTGGGGGTGGGGTGTCGTTCCACAGGAATGTCTACAAGGATTACCGACAGCTGGAGCTGGCCTGTGAAACTCAGGAGGAGGTGGACAGTTGGAAGGCATCTTTCCTGAGGGCTGGGGTATACCCAGAACGGGTTGGGGTGAGTCCAGGCTTCGTGGGCAGAAAAGAAGAGAGTTAGGGCCCTGCCTCCCTGATTTAGCCTGCGAGGGCCCCTGGTTATGGTATCCTGTTGTAGTAGATGCGAAAGCTTATCTGTGAGGTGTCTCTTAGCCCTTCTCCTTTGGGTCAGAACCCTCTTCAATGTCCTGAGAGTCCCTGCTTGCCCAAAGAATCTGATATCAAGAGATACCCCCCCTGCCTTTTCCCCTCCTGTCCCCTTTTTGCTTACTGCCCAAGGCCTAGGGCCTCCACGGTGACAGAGCTACCCCTGGTGGCCCCCGAAATCCCAGGGTAGTAGTGGTGGGAGCCAGGGGAAAGGGCAGGAGTTAAGTAGTCTATTCTTCTGCGGAGAAAAAGAGAATTCCTATCTTTCTATAACCCTTCCCCTTCCCTGACTTCTGTTTTTTGTTACACCTCCTTTTTTGTCACAGACAGGGCAGTTTTCTATGTTTCTTCTAATCTGGAAGTAACTTCACATGATTCCCCAGCAACAGATATCCCTTTCTAATGATTTTTGATATTTTCTCCCATGAACTATTATTTCTAGCATTTTCTCAGGCATCTACTATTATTTCTAGCATTTTCTTAAGGTCCCTCTCCCAGGCCCACTCCCCTTTCCCCTCAAGGAGCCTCCCATCCTTTCCTTTAGACCAAGAGTTCTTAGCCTTTTTTGTTTGTTTGTTTCATGGACCCCACTGGCAGTCTGGTGTAACCCAGACTTCTCAGAATAATGTTTTTAAATCATTGAAGAAAATGCTAAATTTTAATTTGAGGTTTAGTAAAAATAAAGATGTGTGGGTTTTTTTTTTCCCAATCCAAATTCCTAGACCTCCATGAGCTCTCTCCACAGATGCCGGGAAGGGCCATGGAGCCCAAGTTAAGAACCTCGTTAGACCTTTAGCATAGATTATTGCCATTCTCCTTGCCTGGGCCTCTGAATCTCTCTCCCTTTGCTGTTTCTTTGTTCCTGCTCACTCTGTGTGATGATATTGTGGTCACCTGGGCTTTGGCATTGCTTCCCGATGGTCCCACAGGACAAGGAGAAAGTAAGTACCTCCATTCAACAAATAGCGATTTATTGTTATATGTCAATAGGTACAAAACTCTGCTAGGCTGCCAGGGGCTGGGTGCGGGTGGGATACAGAAGTCTTACAAGACAGGGTCCTTACCCCCAAGGAGTTAATGATTTGGCAAGAGTGATGAGAAATGTATTGGGATAAGTATGATAAAAATTAGAATATAAATTCATAAAAGGATTACAAAGGGCTATGAGGTCAGATGAAGGGGAAAGTAAGGAAGCACTTCCTGAGAGAGATGGAATTTAACCTGAGCCTTGAAGTTTGCCCAGATTCTATCCTCCCTCTTGCTAAGGGAATGAGAAGGGGCTGAATGATAAGTATAACCTCAACTTCTCCAAAGTGAGCCAGAGGGCAGTACCAGAGTGAGGGACAGAGGTCGTTCTGGTATGATGTATTTTCCCCGTCCTTCCCCAGGCCAGCGAGACAGAAGAGAATGGCTCAGACAACTTCATGCACTCGATGGACCCCCAGTTGGAAAGGCAGGTGGAGACCATCCGCAACCTGGTGGATTCCTACATGGCCATTGTGAACAAGACCATCCGTGACCTCATGCCCAAAACTATCATGCACCTCATGATAAACAACGTAAGTCAGTTAAAGTACCGGAGCTCTAGTTTTTTTTTTTTTCCTTTCTAAAAGTTTTATTTTATTTTCGTTAACAAAAATCTATCTTCTTTCCCTCCCATCTCCTCCCCCATTGAAAAAAGAAGAAAAAGATACATAGTCAAGCAACATAGTTAAGTAACAAATATGTATAGTCAAGCAAAACAAATTCCCACATTGACCATGTCCAAAAAGCATGACTCATTCTACAAAATGTTTCACTCTACATCCTAAATCCAGCATCATCTTCTGATGGAGATGTCAGGAGGTGGTTAACATGTTTCTTCATCAGACTTTCAGAGTCATGGTTAGTCATTTGCCTTGACCATGGTTCTTAACATTTTCAGAGTTGTTTGCCTTTATAATGTTCTTTTATTGTATAAATTGTAGTCCTGGTTCTGTTCATTTCACTATGCAACAATTCAAGTCTTCCAGGCTTTAGTATTTCATTACATTCACATACCATAATCTGTTTAGCCATTCCATGATCAATAATCCCTTTCATTTCCAGTTCTTTGCCACCACATAGTTGTTATAAATAATTTTCTACATATGAGTAGAATTTTCCTTCGTCAGGTCATGTCTTATTAGGTATCATGTAGATGCAAAATTTTTGTAACCTGCAGTTATATGTTGCCTAATTTCTACCATTTCCTTGTGAAGCATAATCTGCATTGATCAATAAATCTGAGTTCCTTAAGAACAATCTATCTATAATTTCTGTGGTAATGACCTGTTTCTGAATTATCATAATGAACCCTTCTATTTCTATAAATAAGTTCACATGGCTTGGTCATTTCTTTGGTCCTTCTTTGTTGACATTTGGTTGTTTGAATTCATGTGGATGTTGCCCATGGAGGGTCCTTTGACTCTACTCTTGGATCTTAGCTATTTCATATGCTATATTCAGATGAAAACTATTTTCAGTTGTATTAGACAAAAACATGTTATATACCTATTTTCAGCCATTCCTACTGCTTGGTGAAATAATATCTTGTTCCAAAAGTATTTCTATAAATTTTTAACTTGTTTACCATGTGCCCTGAGAATGTCTATCCATATTCTTTCTTTTTGATGAGGCAGTGTTCATCTTTTTATAGCTGCCTTAGGGTGACATGACTTGTATTTCATTAATGTTATATAGGGTTTTGTTGGGATACTTTCCAAATCTTATGGCCTATTTTAAAGCTCTGAAAGAGTATATGAAAGTTAATATTGCATAGGTATTGTTTTAAACATGTTCTTCACATTGAATTTTGATTTCAGGATGCCAGTAAGACTCTTGACACATAGCTACAACTTCTCCTTGATAGCTTTATGCTAGCTGTGTCTCACCTTGTAGGTGCAGCAGGTGCTCCTTGGAGGGTAGAATCTATGCCGTGGGCTGGGCCATCGCCACTTGTCCTGACTTTTGTCTTGCCACTGGACTTCAATGACTCTTGACTATCTGCTAGTTTTTGAGAGCGCAGGGTCATCTCCACACCATGATGAAGCTTTCTAGGAGGAGTTACAGAATAACCAGATCAAATCCCACTCTACCCCACCCCCTCCCAGCCCCACATTCCTCCCTAGGGCTCTAGTTTAAGGAGGGCTTTGTTGTTGAGTCATATCAGTCATATCTGACTCTTTTTTTTTTTTTGGTGAGGCAGTTGGGGTTAAGTGACTTACCCAGAGTCACATAGTGAGTGTTATGTTTCTGAGGTCAGATTTGAACTCAGGTCCTCCTGAATCCAGGGCTGGTGCTCTATCCACTGTACCACCTAGCCGCCCCTCATATCTGACTCTTCATGACTCTATTTGGGATTTTCTTGGCAAGGATACTGGAGTGATTTGCTATCTCCTTCTCCAGCTCATTTTACAGATGGGGAAACTGAGACAAACAGGGTTAAGTGACTCATTCGGAGTCACACAGCTAATAAGGGTCTGAGGTTTGAACTCAAGAAGATGTCATCCTGATTCCAAGCTCATTCTTTAAGAGCTTATATACCAAAGGAGGAGATAATACATATAAAAATATATAAATACACGTAAAATATATGCAACGTAAATATACAGTTTATACAGAGAATATATATTTCAAAGCACTTCAAACCTCACCTCAGACACTTACTAGTTGTGTGATCCTGAGCCAGTCACTTAACCCTGTTTGCCTCAGTTTCCTCATCTGTAAAATAAGCTGGAGAAAGAAATGGCAAAGCACTCCAGTGTCTTTGCCAAGGTCATGAAGAGTTGGACATGACTGAAATGACTGAAGAATGATAGCACACGTATGTATGCTGAGCTTGCGGCCAGGCTCCAGATTTTCTCCCTGGTCAAGGAAATATTCTTGTCCTGGCACCCATAAGAGAAGATTCTGATGAGCTAGGTCACCAAATTATTTGCAAGCACCCAACCATTTGTGTCACATCCTCTGAGACTCATTGTCTCTTAATGGTGTTCCCGTAGATGTGTAGACCTATGTTTCTGTGGAATGGTTTCTCATACCTCTCTAGCTTCACTAAAATCCCTATTTCAAAATACTTTCTGTACATCTTTTAGAGCTGGGCTTATCTTTCAGTGTTTCTCAGCTTTGCTTTAGGACAAGGGTCAGCAAACTATGGTCTGTGGTCAAATCCTGCCCATCCCATTTTTGTATAGCCCTTGAGCCAAGAATGGTTCTTACACTCTTTCTTGCTTTAGGACATCCCCACTTATCTGGGGATGTGGGTACATCCAGGAATTCCAACTCTATTTTTTCATAACAGCCCTCAACATATCTATGCTTCAGCTAGCTCTGTCTTCCCAGAGTTGCCTTTAACCCATTCACATCATGAACACATACACATACACACACACACACACACACATACATCCGTGACCTCTTACTCCCAGCCTTCTTCTTCCTTTCACCTTCCCCCCACCCTCCTCTTTGGAAAGACTCAAGTCTGTTTGATGAGAGAGATGTGGTCTCTAACCCATTCTGGATGTTAGTTTTCCCATCCATAAATGGAGATGATTGTACCAGTGATTACCATCCCTACCACCTCTAACTTTCATGTTTTAACATTTCTCAGCTCTGACATTCTTTTATATATACTGTATTCTCAGGTTCCTTCCTAACATTCTGTGTTCTGTGAACCTCTGAAAATGTTTTGCCAAGTTGGTAGAGTTATTAAAGCTAGAATAATAATAGCTAACAAGTATTATACTTTGAAGCTTGCAAGGTGCTTTACATATGTTAATTGATTCTCATAACAACCCTGTGAGGTGCTATTAATATCACCGTTTTTGAGATGCAACTGAGACGAGTTAAGTGGCTTTCCCAGGGTCACACTTCTAATAAGTATCTGAAGCAGGATTTGAATTCAGGTCTCCTTGATTCTATCCACCTAGTTGCCTTACGGGGGGCCTTACTGACCATCTTCCTTTTACTGATGAGGAAACAGAATCAGAGGGAGAAGTGATTTGTCCAAGGATTGCTCAGGCCTAGTAGCACATCAGGTGGTATCTGAGGGACAGGCTGGACTGGCTTTTGGCAAGCCCCAAAGCCCTGCCCCTTCCTAGGTCTTTGTGTGCACCTCTTTGCTCTCAGACCAAGGACTTCATCCACTCGGAGCTACTGGCCAATTTGTACTCGTGCGGGGACCAGAACACGCTGATGGAGGAGTCTGCGGAGCAAGCCCAGCGGAGAGATGAGATGCTGCGCATGTACCACGCCCTGAAAGAGGCCCTGGGCATCATCGGAGACATCAACACCACCACCATCAGCACGCCCATGCCCCCGCCTGTGGACGACTCCTGGCTGCAGGTGCAGAGTGTACCGGCCGGACGCAGGTACCAGGGGCGGGTCCAGCCGCCCCCTAACCCCGACGACCCCGGGGCAGGAGGGAGGCGGGCTTCGGGGGCTCCCTGCTGGAGCTAGGGGGGACTGACTCGCGGGGCACCTGGGATGCGGACTGGAGCTTGCTCAAAGAAGGCGGGATGGGGAGGAGCAAGCAGACGGGTGGGAGGGGGTAGTAGGCGGGGCTCGCAGACCACTGGCAAGGAAGGGCACCACCGGTCCGGGCTCTGGGGGTGCAGTCATTCACCTTCCCGTTCCTTCTCTCTGTGCGTCCCCCGCAGGTCGCCCACGTCCAGCCCCACCCCACAAAGGCGAGCCCCCGCCGTGCCCCCAGCCCGGCCCGGCTCCCGGGGCCCTGCTCCTGGGCCTCCGCCTGCTGGGTCCGCCCTGGGGGGGGGCGCCCCCCGTGCCCTCCCGGCCAGGGGCTTCCCCTGACCCCTTCGGACCACCCCCTCAGGTGCCGTCAAGGCCCAACCGCGCCCCCCCGGGGGTTCCCAGGTGAGCGGGGGGAGGCTGGTCTAGGGGAGGTAACTGCCTTGGGGTCCCCACCTTTCTGGGTTCAGGACAGTGAGGGCAGAGTACCATTTCTGAGACTTTGCAGAGGTCTGCTGGGCAGTGTTCCTGATGCACGGGGAGCCCTTTGCACCCCGGGCAGCAGCTCCACCCCCAGACGACAGGGAAGGGTTGGGCCTCCAGGGTTGGAAGCAGCTGGGCCTGTGCCCCTCCTACACCTGCAGGGCCTGAGGAAGGCAGTAGAGTTCTCCAGTGGGCAGGAAGGAACTGCCCAGGAATCCTGGGTCCGACGGGTTGGGAGGGCAGGGGTGTAGCTAGAGGAGGAAAGCTGCTAGCCTCCTGAGGACTACGAGGTGGCTTTCAATCTACTATAATCATTTTTAACCCCTAATAGAAGGGCCTTGAAGGTGGGGGACGGGTGTTGCCTGCCTGGCAAGGGTTCAGTTAGGGTTGTTCTATGCCTTCATCCAGTAGAAGCAGCCTGAGGGCCACCAGGCCTTGTAATAACTCAGTGGGCTGTGGATCTGGGGTCTTGGGTGCATGGCACTTCCTCACCTACCTTCACTCATCTCTGCCTTCCTCCTCTTGCCTAGTTCCTCTGTCTTTTCTCTGCAAGCTGATCTCATTCCTTTCTCTCCTCCCCTCTGCCACTCTTCTTTATACCCTGGTCACAGGGCAACTGTGCCCATCCACATCCCTCAGTGGATGAGGGGGGACACTGGGAGCTGGGCACCCCTAGGGCTGCCTTGTGCTTCCTGCCTTGGATCAGAGGTGCTAGGGCTGTGTTCATTACAGACCTCTGAGGTACCCTGAAAAGCTTCTGCCTCCTCCCCTTGTATAGAATGAGTGACTTCAGTCTGAAGTCAGGACTGGTGAGGGAAAGCTTCAGCATCCTCTACCAGGAAGGAAGCAGCATCACTACTGATGTTTCCCCTCCTGCAACACCCCTTGCCCCATTTCCCTAGTGTCTTTGAGTCTTATCAGCTGCTCCCATGGCCACTTCTGTTCAAATACCTGGCCTGCCTTTCGGGCCCCCTAGAGCAAAGGCCATGGCTGTGTGCAGTGGGGGAAGGTATATGGTGCCTGTGTGGGTGTGCACACGTATGAGTGTACGAGAGGATGTCAAGAGTGCGTTTTCATATGGAAGACTGGGAAACAGGATGCCTGGGTTGTCCTTCTGCTAACAGGCCTTTGAGCATCCTGACAACACTTTTTCCTTACCCCTACCCTAGCATGTCCTATACATAGGGAAAGAGGTTCCAAATCCTCTATTACATCTTCCTATCTCAGACCTCTTTTTCCTAAGGTAGGTCCTCCTGAAATCTAACTTTAGTCTGATTTCTTTTGGTTCTGTTCACCATAAGGAACCAAAATTAGATCAGCATCATCAAGTCATAGTTTGGAAGGCTGGATGGAGAACAGTAGCCTGTCTGTGCCCCACCAGGAGCTCAGGAGCTAATAATTATTATCCAATAATAATAATTATTAGCACAGAGCTAATAATAACTGTTAGGCAACTTTAATGATTATCTAGCCCAACCCCCTTATTTTATAGATGAGGAAAATTGAGGCCAAGAGAAGTGAAAGGACTGGCCCACAGTCACACAGCTATTAAGTGATGGGGATGGAATTCAAATCCAGGTCTCCTGACTCCAAATCTAAGTACTTTTCCTCCTTTTCCATGCTGCCCAGTAGAAATCAGATTTTTGCCTTGGGGTTAAAAAAAAACCAAAAAGATTAACTTCTTTCTTTGGCCCAGGAAGAACAAAGGACAGGTAGGCTGGAACTGCTGGGAGTCCAGGGAGTCTGAAAGGGCTGCAGACCAGGCCTCAGGGCAGTGTGGTGAGCTAGGATTGGTTGTTGTTCCCCTAGGTGCTATAGTGAATACACAATGCCTACTGTGACCACAGCCCTATACTTTTAGAGTCCCTGCTCTCAATAGTTCACAATGTGGCTAAGACATGTTTAACAATTAGAGGTCAATTAAGAGCTAAACAGTGTGGTCCAGACTAGATGTACTATGGGAATTCAGAGAAAGGAGAGATTTGAGGAGGATGGAGGGGTCTTCAAAGAGGTAGAATTTGAACTGGACCTTGAAGGATTATGAGGGAGGAGGAGGGGGAATGGAATAAAGAGGAGCAGAACAATAACTAGGGTAAGGCTGTTAGAGCTTTGTCCTCATTAATTAAAAAGTAAAATTTAATTCCAAAAAAATGCAAAAAAAATTTTTAAGTCACTTAGAGGGCACCAACAGCCCTGTCCTGGACATGTATTTCTTCTTCTGTTCACCTGCAGTGGACAGTCCTTCAGTAGTATAGAAAATCCTTAGTGCCCTGGAGCTCTTCTCCCCCTTAGAAGCTGCACCTTGCCCCCGCCCCCAACTTCCAACCTATCAAAAGCCAGATCTTCAGTATTATAGAAACTTAATGTTCTAGGGACAAGCTTCCTCTCTAGGGCTGCATGCCATGTACAAAAAATTGATAGGGCTCTAAGAATGAGGCTGGGGAAGGCCTGCTTGGACAGAGATACTGAGGCAGAAATAGAAGGGTATGTGTGGAGGGCAGAAAACTAGCCTCTCCAGAGCAGAGAGTGCATGTAGGGGAGGAGCTGGGTGCCAGTCTGAGGAGTGTGAATTTACAAAAGGCCACTATTTTAGGATCTGGAGCAGGAATGTTTCCCGTTGTCCTCTGGGAGGGTACATCTTCATACAGAGGACATGGGGCCATGCAGTTGTTTAGCCAGATGTGGCACCCCAGGAGAGGCCCCTTTCGGAGGTCTGAACCTATATCTTGGCAGCCTCTGGCTGGGGAGCCTGGAGCTGGACATCGTTTCTGATGGGAGAGCAGCACCCCTACCCATGCCCTGAATTGCTCCAACAGGGCTTCCTAGATCGAGTAGGCACCAGGGAGCAAAGAGTGGTTATTGGGAGTCCTGTGACAGATCAGGTCCTGGGGAATGTGGGTTAGGGTGCGTGTCCCTCTGTGAGCACACCTGGGGAGCATTTGCACATGCCTCTGTGTGCCTGCTGCTCCTGAAAGGGCAAGCTTCTCTGTCGTGAGTAGGCCCACACGTGTGCTCCTATATATCTGCTGAGTGGATGCATGTCTGGGTCCCCTGCTGCACGCGAAGGCTAGTGAGAGCAAAGTAAGGGGTTGGGTGGGGGGAAAAGGAAGAGTACCTGGCGTTCCTGTGGGCATTTATGTCAGTGTGCATGCGAAGCTGTGGGCCTCAGTGCATGTGTGTGCACGTGTGTTACGCACGCACGCGCGTGTGCGTGTGTCTCCCCCCTGCCAACAGCCCAGCCTGGCCCCTTGCATTGATCAATGTGAACTGCCCTGTTGATTTCGTGTTGTCTTTCAGAATCACTATCAGTGACCCCTGAGGACTCCCGCCACGGTAGGTGCTGGTCTCCCCAGCCTGTGCTGCATGAATCAGTGTGTCCCATCCCCTGCCCCCTGACTCTGGCCAGCTCCCTGCCTTGGGAGGGGGCAGCCACAGAGGGCCAGGCAGAGGGCGTGGAAGCCAGGCTCCCAGCTCCAAACAGATGTCCTACCCAGTCCCTCCTCCAGCTCCAGATCTCTTCTTTCTACCCTCTTGGCCCTCTCTGGGCACTACCTCATCACCTCTGACTCATTCTCACCTTTCTCAGCTGTTTGCCCACTTTCTGGGTTTCAAAGCTTGGGTGCCATGCCCAGGAAAGGTAGGGCAGGCAGGTTAGTTGAGACAAATGGGGGCCTCTGGGAAGCTGTCAAGGCTAGCATAAGGTCTGTGCTTAAGGATTCCTCCTGTAGGGTCTTTCCGGTGTCAGAGGCCAAAGTGTTGGAAGAGTGTGGTGGGGGTGTAACCCCAGTTGGCTGAGAGGTCGTTTGAGTTTGGGTTTCTAGGAAAGCTTGACTCTTTTGGGTTTGGCTCTGAGATGGAATCATACCTCTCCACCCCCATTCTAGTACCCTTAGATATAGAATAGCAAAGTACCTGAGAGCCTGTGATCTGGGCTCTAGGATATAATACTCTTGGTTCCCACTGGTGTTAAGCATCTGAGCAGTGACTCAGGGAGGCAGCAGCAACCCCCAGGTGGTGATTAAAAGGCCATGAGATTGATACAGAAGCACTACTAGTAGCCCAATTGTCCCAGTCCCATTTTGGAAAGCTCCTGGTCCCTTGGAGACTGCCTTCGGGATTCACTTTAAAGCTAAGATCACTTGGACAAACATGCTAGGGTGATGCCCATGGTGAGTCGCTATAGGCTCTGCACTCCCCTGCTGGTTTACCCTCTCTTGTGGACACCATGCTGGTCTGTTAGTTGTACCATCTGTATTCTCCAACCTTGACCCTGAACAAGACGATTATATCGGAGACCCCTATATTCTCTCTGTTACTAGAGACTTGTAGAATTTCTCATGCCCTTGATCCAGTTCATTTGGACTTATTGTTGTGTGCTGCTCCAGGGGGGTCTCCACTTGCCGACTGGTACCTCTTCTGCCAGTGCCTGGGTGGGCATATGGCATCAAATCAAGGGCAGCTTTCTTAGCCCTGGTGTGGTATTGTGTCTAACCCAGGGACAAACACATCCTCTCAGGTTGCCAGAGGGCAATCAAATCTTTGCCTGGGTATCCTGTGGGATAACCGGCAGTTGGAGAAAGAGGGAGCAGCAGTAGCCTAAGCTCGTGGTCTCTGCTTAATGACCTAGTGAGGGAATTTTCCTGCCTGCCTCCAGTAGAAGTCCTAACTTGGGCTTCTTGCCCAGCCTAAAATGGAGCAGCTCAGAGCACCAGTAACTTCTATATATTTATGCCCCACTGACTCTTAACTCTGCTTCTCCCCAGCAGGAAGGGCCCGGCCTCACCTACGCGACCTGCTGTCCCCCGACCAGCTGAGCCTCCCCTCTTAGACTTATAACTTTGAGGCCTGTTGGCCACTGGCACCCATTGCATGATCACATTGAGGGAGAAACCTTTAGGTTCTCTGACCCTACCAAGGAGGCTGTCATTCATTGCCTGAGGAGACAGATGCATCCTCAGCCACCTGCCCCATGGAGCCTCACCTTTAGATTTAACTCTCTTCACCCAGCGTTTTCCAAGTTTTCCAAGCTTTGAATCCACATTTCCAGCTGGATGCTTGCTGGGTGGGGTAGAAACCACGGAGAGATGGATGGCAGGGGCCCTCTGGGCTCCTTCAGGGCAAGCATGGTTAGGTCTGGGCTTGGGGGGGATGCAGGAGGCAGAGCATGTGATTAGCAGCTTCTGATGTGGTATTCTGGATGCAGTGAGTGTGAGTGGAGAGTGTATGTATGTGTGGGGAAATGTTGGCTCTTTGGTGGGGAGGGTGGAACCCAACTAGCCTCTTCTCCCATGTCCCTGCCAAAGCCCAGATTCTTTCTGCTCATTCTGGGTGCTCCAACCTTCCCTTTCCATTCCAGTGCTTCCTCTCCTTTCTCCATGCAATCCGGTTTCCTTTCTGTCCTATTCAACTGCTACAAATGGTGGGGTGGGAGGGGTTTGGTCATATCTATGGTTTTCCTGCCTTATCAGTTTTCTTCCCCTCCTTTTTTTCCCTCCTCTTTTCTCTTCAACTGCCAGCCGAGCGGGTCAGGCAAGTCCATCCCGTCCTGAGAGTCCTAGACCCCCCTTCGACCTATAACCAGCTCCCTACTCCTCGGTGACACCCTGTCCCCAACCCTCTTACTGCTGTTCTGTGACTGATGGTGGCTACCCTCCCAAACTTCATGATTTGGTCTGTCATAGTTGTGAGCTGACATATCCAGGTGTGACATTAATGAAAACCTGTGCTCAGAAAATGCTCCCTCTGTGGTATCTCTCCCGCCGAGAACTTCTATAAATATCTAGAAATACACACATACATATATATAATATATATATATATATAGGAACACAACCTTGCTCAGGTTGGAAGTCAGACCATCTGCTGTCCTTGTGGTTTTGTTGCCCAAGTATAAGGGGATGTTGTTGCTCTGGATTCCCTCCCCCAAAAGTGTTCCATCTGCCTGGGTGTTCTTTGAGCCTCACTGTCTCACTCGTGCCTGGGACAGCAGGACACTCCCCCTTCCTGTGGATGTGTGGGTACTGTACCAGTGACTGCTACAGTTCTGTCACTTCTATCTGTTGCGCTGTCTCTTGGCTGAGAATAAAACTCATTTCTGTATGACACCAAACGTGCCTTGGTTGGGCTGCTGTATCTCTCGACTAGAGGGCTTGGGGGAGTGAGGTCTACACAGCAGCTCCCAGGGTAAAAAGGAAAAAAAGAAGGTAGCACCAGGTGCTGACTTGGGAAAGGGACTGGCCTCTTGTCTTCTCATCCAGCACCTGGGAACCCTTGTAATTGTTGTGTTCCAAAACAGCAGGTTCATCTGCCAAGGAATGAATGAGAAATTCTTCCAACCTAGACTTGAAAGAGGAGTCCTTGGCTCTGTGCTTTTTTGGAGAACCATGGACTAGCATGATATAGCTGTAGCACCATAAAACAATGAGTAGAAGAAGCCTTTGGCCTGGAGTCAGAAGGCTTGGTTTCTGGCCCTGTCACTGATTTATTGTGGGACTCGGGATGAGTCCCTTTCCCCTTCTATAAAATGATGGGGATTGGGCTTGAGAATTTCTGAAGTCCCTTCTAACTCCAACATTTCCCAATTGAAGGCCTTTTCTGGTCCAGGGGTTTCAAGCTGGACCTCTGGCAAGAATGGACTCATCCTGTAGGAAAGGCACGTGCAGTACATTTCATAAGAATGTGCACCCACGAAAATTTTTTTTAAGGTTTACAGAATGGAATGAATCCAATCACAAAAGACAATTTAATTTGTCCAACTAAGGAAACAGAAACTTAATTGTAAAAATGAACTAAATTGTACTTAAGAAAACAAATTTAAAGAGTGACACAATCAATACCACTTTTTTGGGGAGACATTAAGGTGTGCTTCAGGTACATGCTGTATCCATGTCTGTCTTTAACTCATATGGCAATAGACCTACCATGCTAGAATATCTTCTCCCTCTGCTGGCTAGGCCCCAGAAAAGAGACCCATGGCAAAGCAGTGGGTAAAGTCTAGGTAGCTACAGGGCAAAAAGGAAGGCAGCAGGGTGCCCCATGTTACTTGAGGTGAATGGAATTAAGGATGGAACAGCTAGGCCCATAGTGAGCACAACCTAGGACTTGGTCAGAGAAAAGGGGGGTACAGTCAGCTAGAAGTCCTAATGACAAATTAGCCTAGGAGCCACGGGGCAGGAAGACACAGGACTGACAACATTGGCTGAATTCATTTATTTTGAAAGAGAAAAGCAAAAGAAACAGGAGTTGAATCACCCAGGAACTAGAACCCCGTCCCCTCTTCCTGCATTGTGCGACCAATAAATAGTTTCCCCATTCCCCCAAATAATTATTAGAACATTGCTCCATATTAAACCTGTCCTGCTTCAACTCTATCATACAGGGTGGTAGCCTGCTCAGGGGTGTCTACCCTCTGTTGGCCCACCCCCCAGAATATACAAAATGTTACACAGATACAGTATATACACTCAAGGGCCACAAAGCTTGCTCCCTTGCCCAATGGAGCCCCTGTCCCTTCTGCTGCCCCATCCCATTACCCGCTGCAAGCCTTTCTCACCCCAATGCCCACCAAAAGTGCTGTCTACTGCCACCCCCAGCCCCAAGGACCAAGATGGGATGCCAACTTGGATGAGGTGGCACCTTCTTGCTCCATAACCACCAAGCACCCCCAACCACTCCCTGTCCCCCAGAGAGGTAAGCCAAGCCCCAGGCCTTCCAAACAAACTGCCTTTATTCAGCCACTCGCTTTCCTTTTTGGCTGGAAGGAAATAAGACTCAGGCCTAGGAAGGAAGAAACAGCCCTGTGGGGTGGGCATTGAGGGGCCCCACACTAACCTGTGCACCCTCCCCATTCCAGATGCCAGGGGTGGAGAAGGGCATCTTCATTCCCTTGAGCCCACCTAGCTATTCTAGAGTTGGAGGTGGGGGAGGGGAGGACAAAAGGTCCTGCTGCCCTTGGCTTAGGGCCCAGTCCACTTCCTCCTATCACCCCACTGTTAGATCACCATGATCTTGACCTCATCGTTCTCATCAGCTCGGTAGAAGAAGGGGATACAAGGGTTTTCTCCCAAGCCCCCTGCCCGATCCCTGGGGTTCTGGATCTCCCGCAACAACTGCATGATCTGTTGGGCTGTGGGATCATCTGGGCGAGGCTGGCTCAAGGGGGGCTCACTCACAGCGGACACAAGCTCCGTCTCATCTGCCAGGCTCACTTCCCGGAGGCCTGGGAGAGACAGGGTTTTAAGGTATTTTGGCAGCCTATAAGTCCCCCCTGTTGCCATTCTATTCTTAAGCTCAAGAGTATGTCCTGAATCTGCTTTCCCATGTTTCACTCACCCTCTTTGTCAGGAGGACTGAGATCCAAGTGGCCTTCAGGGACAGGGTTGGGACTGCTCTCCCCAGCAGGCCCTGAAGGTGCTTGGGTGACAGCCAGGAACTTGCTGAACCACTCATTTCGCTCACCCACTAGCCGTAACACCAACTCCTGCAGTTCCAGAAGCTTCATCTGGCAACAGAAAAGGAGAGACTAAGCTACTGGGCTCATGCCGGGCGAACTCCACTCCTTGACCTAGGTCTGAAGGTGGACAAAGAGGGCTGGCTGGGGTCCTTCTCGGGGAGGTAGAGCCTGCTAACCTTCATCTCCTCTTTGTCCTGGGCCAGCCGGCTGATATATTCCTCTTTCTCCCGATGTCTCTCCTTCAGCACAGCCCTCTGGCTCTGGTATAGTGCAATGTATTCACCTGGGGTGGGGACAGAATGATGTCCGATTCAGGTGAGATTCTCCAGCACCCTGGGCTCCCTGACAACAGACCATCATGCCTACCTGGCCTCCCTCCATACCTATCTCCCCCATCGGTCATACCTGTCCCCTCCCCCACTGCCACCTAGCTTATTCCTCACCCCCATCCTTCTACTTCTCTTCCCAATGCCTCTCCTCACCAATAGTGTCTGTTTCTCCAGAGAGCTGGATGCACCGATGCTCCAGTTCTTCTACTCGTTCTTGCATATCCACTTTCTCCTGCATCAGTTCTGTGAATCGGGCCTACGGCCCCAAAAAGGGTCAGCTTCTCGTTGCAGGAACAGCGAGCTTGGGTTCCTCCCTAACTCTCCTCTCTGCACACCTTGGAACCTCACCTGCAATTTCTCCATGGCAGCCTGAAGTGCCTGGTGCACTTCGCTGGGCACACTGTCCCCACTCAGCACTTGGGAGGAAGGGCTGGGCTGTCGCTGGGGCCGGGCCACCTCCCTCGTCAGATGCCGGCACCGTCGTCGCTGTTCCTTTAGCTGCTGCCACAGCCGACTCCTCTCTTCTTCCATGCTTGACAAAGCTGAGTTGAGGAATGCCACCTGGGGCCAGATAGGCAGGAGAGGGAGAGTTGATGAGGAGTACCAGCAAGGGCAGTTTTGACCAAGGGGAGAAAGGCTAGGGAGCAGGTACCTATTAGAAGACAGGCAATCTGATGGGCTTGGGAATCTTAGCTCGAAGTAGGGAGTGGAAGAACATTTCCCAGGGCTGGCAGACAGGGAGAAAATCATGCTCACCATGGCCTCCCGACTTTCAAAGTCCTCAGGGATGCTTAATGCTGGTTGAGGAGCATCCTCCATTTCTTCTTCAGACAACTCATCTGTTAGGGGTAACCGGAGAAGCAACATGATATAGTAGGAAGAGCACTGGACTGGCAATTAGTGCCAAACAGGGTTCTAATCCTAGACCTGCTATAGTGTGGCTATGTGCCCGTAGGCAGATTGCTTCATCTCTTGGGGTTCCAAGTTACTCATTTGTATGAGGGGACCATAGCAAGATGATCTCCAAGGTTTCTTCTAGTTCTGCTGGCCAATCTATAGTTCCAGGAAATGTCCCCTTTCTGCCATCTTCTAGAAGGAGCATAGGTACCCCTCACCTTCCCTGGGTTCTGGAGTAAGGCTGAGCTGGGCCTGCAGTTGCTGGTTTTCTTGCGTAGCAGCCTCCAGGCGCTCCTGTGTGGGGGAAGGGACGATGTCAGCCTTTGGGCCTCCCACCCTCTGCCTCTTGTGAAGGGAACCAAAGGCCCTCTTACCTGAGTCTGCAGCAGTTCCTGGCGAGCCAAGTCAGCCGCTACCTTCCCCTGCACTTCCTCATGCTGCAGTCGGTCCATGAGCTGAGTCTGCAGTAGGAACTGCTTGTGAAGTTCGTCCTTCTCGGTGGCCAACTGCTGGTAGGCTGCCACGTATTGCTGCAGGTGGCCCAGGTACTGATCCCGCTGCTCCTGTAGCCCCTGGGCTTCCTGGCTCTTCAACTCCATCTATGAGGGGGCACTACTGAGGTCCAGCACCCATTGAGCAGTGGGGGTGGGAGGCCCTGTCCACAGCCCTGTCCAGCCTGACCTCCAGTCTCTGGCCTTGTCTTGGGTGGAGCCCTCCTAGGGGGCAGTCAGACAAACGCCCGGCTCTTTCTCACTTTTAGAGCCAGGGAGGGAACAACAATGGCTGAGCCAGCTTTCTAGAGATTGTCTTTCCCTGCTTACTGCCCCCATGATTTAACAGCCTTCCAGAACTCAAACACCTCTCATGAAATCTCTACCTTCTAGCTCCTTCCCATCTGTCTTCCAAGGCTTTGCCTCTTCACCCAAACCTATACCCTACATTTCCCCCACCCCAAATATGGGCCTCATTTCCCCCCAAATCATCCTGCCCCAAGATGGAACGAGATTTATTCAGATACCTCTGACCACCTTTTGATTACAATCAACACTTCTGAGTGCCTACATAACTGTGAATGGTGCCTGTGTGCACATGCTAGCCCCATCCTAATGGCCACCTATGACACTCCCCACATCCAAAGAACCCCGTTTTCCCCATCCCTTCCCAAAGGATGCTTATCCAACACTGGATGATACAAGGCATTACCGTCTCCTTCAGCTCCCCCAGCTTTTCCTGTAGCTGCCCCAGCTTCTTGGCAAGTTCTTTCTTGACGTGTTGCTCTGACTGCAGAGCACTTGTTACCTCCATATTTTCATTGGTCTGGAGACATGAGAGGGATAGGAAGCAGTCACTAGTAATCAAGTGCCAACTGAGACCACAGAGAAAGGGGCCACATACATGTCACTGAGGTTGGTGTAAGAGAATCTGTTGTTA